CCACCCCCCCTCGACCCAGGGGAGCATGCCAGCATCATCTCCTTCCCCCTTCTTCCCTTCAAGGGGACCCCATGACTTGCAACTAGGAGAGCAATGGCCAGACGCAGCTCAGCCCCAGGGCATTCTCGAGGCTTCCAGGGATCATGCCTGTACCATTCCCTTCCCCTCTCCTTCCCCCACAGGCATGTGTCCCCTAACCTCTAAGGGACCTCATGAGACTTGCAACCAGGGAGGCAATGGGCAGCAGCAGCTAGTCCTGGGCTAACCCCCTGAACCTGTCTCCAAGGCCTGCTTTTCTCTTCCTTCCCAGTGAGCCAAAGCAGCCCAGCCTAGGCTCTCCTGTTGCTTTTTCTGTGCCCTTCCTTGTTTCACTGTCCTAAGTATATTTTTGCTGCGGTCAATAAATTCTTGCTTTCTTTTCTATACTTTGTCTCTTGATTAAGATCTTTCCCTCAGGAAAACAAAAACTGAGGTCTCCTCATCTCCCCGGTAACATATAGGCCAGTTACAGAAACTAGGGTACAGAGACTCACCAGGGCAGGAAGCCCCGGATGCCTAGCAAGGGGCAAAACTGGGAAAACAAGAACCCTTAACCCCCAGAGTAACCTATCCTCCCCCAACATATCGCTGGTCATGCGGTTTAGACCCCCTGAACATTTCCTCCCTGAAGATAACATCTAGGCCTCAGCTGTATTTTCAGCTCCAGGCCCAGAAAAGCAACAAAACCAGACAAGCGGTGCAGTGGCTGCCTTAGGACCAGATACATTGACTAATGACCCCCTGCCCTGGCACCAAGCAATCAGTGGAGACCATGACCCCGAAAAAGCACCCCTGGAAAGCTGATGAATATTCTATTGAGACCCTCCCTTGGGACCTCCCCTAAGATTTCCACCTGCAAGAAAGAGAGAAATATGCTCAGGACAAAGGACCCAATGTGCACTCCCCAACAGGGGAGCACCCCAGCACCATCTCCTTCCCCCTTCTTCCCTCCAAGGGGACCCCACGAGACTTGCAACCAGGGGAGCAATGGGTATGGCAGTTTGTCCCAGGCTTACCCACTGAACCTGTCCCAAGGCCCCTTCTCTCTGACTCCTCAGTGAGCCAAAGCAGCTCAGCCTGGGCTCTCCCGTTGCCTCTTCTATGCACCTTCCTTGCTTCACTGTCCCAAGTATATTTCTGCTGCCATCATGGGCCCAATACCCTTTGACTCAGTGCTGTGCAGCCCTTCTTTTCGGATACCCCCATCCCCTTTTCCTTAAATAAATTGAGTTCTTTATTCACTGTCTGAGATGGATATTTAGCCTGCCTGCGCACCACCGACCTTAACCTTTCAATTGATAATATAATAACATGGCTAGATCTCAAATGCATTATGCTAGGTGAAAAAAAACAGACTCAAAAGGCCACATACCATATGATTACATTTTTATATCACATTTTAGAATAGGCAAAACTATAGGGTCAGAGATTCATTGCCAAAGGCTGGAGGTAGATGGGGGGCTGACTACAAAGGAGCATGAAGGATTTTTGAAGGGTGAAGGGACAGTTCTGTGTCTCGATTGTGGTGACGTTATGCATTTGCCATGGAACCATACACTTAAAAGGGTGACTATCCTGTATATTACATATCTTAAAGGCATTTAAAAATTTTTTATAAACCATAATTTTATTTAAAATTAGGAAGTTCTATTCATCAGAAGACACACTTAAGAGAAGAGACAAGTTACAGACTGGGAGAAAATAAAAAGAAATAGAACCTGCATACAGAAAATATAAAGACATACACATGAATGAAGAAACACCAGACAGCCCAGTGGGAAAAACGGGCAAAAAACTCGAGTGGCATTTCACAAAAGAGGATATCCAAGTGGCCCATCACATCCGAGACGCCACTCGATGTCTTCATTCCAAATGCAAATGGAAACCATACTAAGGTCCTGCACATCTGCCAGGTCAGCTAAACTTAAAGACTGGCTATAGCAACGTAGGCGAGAATGTGGAGAAACTGACACCGGCTGCAAATTTCTGTAAGTGCTTTGAAAACCTACCTGGCAGTATTTACTAAAGCAAACCACACCCGAGTCTTATTATCCAGCAGTTCCACTCCTAAGAGGAGCCAAGTAAATAAAATCAAAAAAGAAAGAGAAGTAACCATGGACACCACAGAAATACAAAGGATTATAAGAAAATATAACAATAACTATGCGAACAAATGGGACAATCTGGAATAAATGGATAAATTTCTAGCAACATACACTCTTCCAAAACTGAGTTAAGAAGAAACAGAAAATCTGAAGAGACTGATTACAACTAACGAAATTGAAGCAGTAATCAAAAAACTCCCAAAAAACTAAAGTACTGGACCATATGGCTTCACAGGTGAATTTTACCAAACATTCAAAGAAGAACTAACATCTATCTTTCTCAAACCATTCTAAAAATTCAAAAGAAGGGAACACTCGCAAGCTAACTTTACAAAGGAAGCATAATCCTAACTTCAAAACCCGATAAAGACATTACAAAGAAAGAAAATTATAGGACAATATCCCTAATGAACATAGATGCAAAAATACTCAACAAGGTACTAGCAAATCAAACTCAGTAATACATTTAAAAGATCATACACCATGACCAAGTGGGCATTTATTCCTGGGAGGAAGGTTGCTATAGTATCTGCAAATCGACTAACGTGATACACCACATAAACAAAATGAAGGGTAAAAACACCATCATATCAATAAATGCAGAGAAAGCTATTGGCAAAATCCAGCACCCATTTATCTATTTAAAGATACCTTTATTGATTTCAGAGACAGGAAGGGAGAGAGAGAGAGAGAAACATCAATGATGAGTGAGTCGTTGATCAGCTGCCTCCTGCACGCCCCCTACTGAAGATCGAGCCCGAAACCCGGGAATGTGCCCTGACCAGGANGGAGAGAGAGAGAAAGAAACATCAATGATGAGTGAGTCGTTGATCAGCTGCCTCCTGCACGCCCCCTACTGAAGATCGAGCCCGAAACCCGGGAATGTGCCCTGACCAGGAATCGAACTGCAATCTCCTGGATCATAAGTTGATGCTCAACCGCTGAGCCATGCCGGCCGGGCTCCAGCACCCATTTATGGTAAAAACTGTCAGCAAAGTGGGAATAAAGGGAACATACCCCAACATAATAAAGGTCATATATAACAAACCCATAGCCAACATCATACTCAATGAGGAAAATCTGAAAGTGTTTCCCTTAAGATTTGGAACAAAACAGGGATGTTCACTTTCACCACTTTTATTCAACAAAAATAAAATAAAAATTAGTGCATATATCCACCATAAGATGTGTTTGAGAATGCATGTAACACCATTACCGTTATAGCAAAAGCCTGGAAATAAAGCAGTTGTTCATTAACAAGAGAACATATAAATTGTGGGGTGTATATATATGCATATATATGTATACAATGAAATACTACCCAGCAATAGAGAAAAAAAGATAATTCCAACATGCAACAAAGATGAAACTTATAAATAAAAGTACAAAAAAGAGTATACACTGCATGATTTGATTTATATGAAATTCATGAGTAAGCAAAACTAACCTATGGCGATGAATTTAGAATAGTGGTTATGGGTGGGGGGTAGGATATACTAAAAAGAGGCATGTGGGAGCCCTGTGAGCTGCAGGAAATGTTCTATATCTTGATCTTGGTGGTGTTTCCATGGGGTAATACACACTCACAAAACATTCAATAACGCACATGTTCTGTGCACTTTACTGCATGTATGTTTACCTCAATGTGATACGATAAACAGAAAAGGTCACCTAGAGCATATCTCAGGGGCTAATGGGAATGTGCGCAAAATGAATAGAAGCAGGCGAGGAGTGCATGAGGACGTCCCCACCCTGCCCCCTGTGCTTCTTATCAGCCACGGACGGAGAACGGAACATACACGTCAGGCTTGATGCAGCCTCTAGTCCTTTAGGCCCAAAGCTTATGCAATGGCAGAAGAAATCTTTTTTGTTAAAAAAGAAAAAAGAAAAAAGCAGAGTAGGCATTTTTCCTCCAGTGTTTTAAAACAGAGACATCTGTTTTTATATGCTATTAATTGCTATAGTGTAACGTCTACTAGGTTATTTTTTCAATCAAGAGAATACAATTTCTTGTTGCACCATCCCCCTCCCACCCTGTCATTCATCAATAAATCAACATTTGTGCACTTTACTGTGTGCACGCTATATACTTCCATACAATTTGTTTGTAATGGCCCTGCCAGCACTCCCAGGGAGGCCACATCCCCAGGGGGCCTCCAGGACTCATGCACCCGTGACCAGTCTGGGGAATGCACTTACTCCCAGCACAGCAGCCTCTCTTGTTTTCCCAGCACAGCAGCCACTCCTGTTTTCAGATCTTCCACTGAGGCAGCTTTCTGAATTCCCCTGTGAGCATCAGACACCAGTCCTCAAGCCTCCAACTGCAGCAGTGACCCACGAAACTCTCCAAGCCACCCTGGGGGCCCCTCGCTGGGCCTGAGGAGGAAGGAAGCCCCATCTTCTCACCCTTTCACTTTGTTGAGGACTCACCCACAGCCCATCAAGCTCTCCCAACATATCTTTTCACAGATTCGCTTTCCTCCTCATAACTTGCCCTTTACATCTTTAATGTGAATGAGAGGTTCTCGAGTCTCTGAACCAGCCTCAGGCACTTGCTTTGCAATCACGCTCTCCTATTTTCACCCAGCACCTCACCGGGCGTGCAGTGTGCAGCATGTACGGCCTGGAGTTGGCTATCATCTCCCAATCAAGACTTCAGTATTAACCTCCTGTTACAGTAACTTCAGGTTGAACCATATGAAATTCTTGATTGTGGACGGTTTGAACTAACAATTTCATTCAAAATAGGCTTTTTAGAGAAATTGAACTTTAGTTTGCATTTGAACAAAAGGGAAAAGTGGATTCTTAAAGGGATATCCAGGCGAATACTGAAATACCTTCTGCAAAGCATCTTACCTTGGCTTTCAGATCGGCACACAGGTCCTGTTGCTTTTTCCTGTCCTTGGCCAACATGCTCTCCATTTCATGAGCTGCACAGGCCTCCACAAGTGTCAGCACAGCCTTCTGTATAAAATCCCTCCTATTCTTATTCCAGTTTGACAGCAGGATCCTTCGCTGCTCCCTAGCAAAGCGATATTGGTCACAGTATTTCTCATGCTCGACCTGAAAAGATAAGGGATGGTTATTATTACACTTATAACGAAAGTGAGCCTATGACTATGCCATTGTTACAAAGATGAATTAGAACAACTGATTTTTAAAAACTGGGGACAAATATCTTAATAGTTAATACAGCAACCAGGAACAGAGTTCTGAGCCTGTGGCTAACGGGTGACTAAAAACCAGTCATTTAACATTTATAAATCCACAGTTTCCTCAAACAGAACGGAGTCAGGCCAGGCAGCCCTAAAATAACTTCCACTTCTACATGGCAATAACTCTATGAGCAGAAAGCATTATTTCCCCTACATATAATTTCAAAAATACTCCATCTTTAAATCAGTTTTGATATTTTAACAATTAGTTTAAGGGCTTCGGTTTGACATGTGTTAATAAACATAAAAAATTGTTACAATAATCCTGAAAACTCTGTTTGCCCTTGATTATTAACACATTCAGATGTTAAGATGTCTGAACTTGAAGTAATTACAGCAATGACATTAGCCCTCCCCATCCTACACTCCTGGGGGACATGGCATTCACCTTAATATCAGAAGTTCCTCTTGGCTGTGACTCCTAACCAGGGGAGATTTCAGCCTTGAGGGGAGGAACAGGAATGGAGGGAGCCTGAGTAGCTGGAAAAATCTCTAGGTGATTCTGAAAGGCTCATTATATAAAGATGTGTCTCCTGAAATTGAGAGTCACTGACCTAAATAATTTTTATTTTGCCAGTATAGGCCATGTGTCTGGCTCTGATACATTATTTAACCTCTAAAAGGTAAAAAAAGGAGGTAGCAAGCAGGATAAGGTTGGTCCTACCTACAGTAATAATTTAGGTTAATTAGGTACATGAAGAAACAGGCTATGGCTTCACTTACACCAAACATCAGCCGCTAAAATCTGTTCTGTAAACTTTTTAGTTTTGTTCCCCAAAGCCAAAAATACTCTTAAAACCTGTCAAACATTAAGAAAGGAAGCATACACCATGCAGAAATGCATACTAATCAACCCAGTATAAGAACTAAATGTAAAAATCTTTATTATGTAAATAGTAGGCAAATATAAAAGTCTACAAAGATAAAAATGACAGCTGGTCACAGAAGCAACTAGATTTAACAGAGAATAAAAAGAAAGGTCTAATTTAATAAATCAAGACTTAAAATTCTAGAGTGAATTATTTATGATATAACTTGGTTTTTTAAAGTTTTTTTCAGAGAGAGGAAATGAGGAGAGAGAGAGAGAGAGAGAGAGACATCAAACAGTTGCCTCTCATACATGTCCCAACTGGGACCGAACCCGCAACCTAGGTATGTGCCCTGACGGGAAATCGAACCCTCGACCTTTTGGTGTACAGGATGACGCTCTAACCAACTGAGCCACACGAGCCAGTGGTAACACGTTTTTTATATAACAAGTATTTGCTATTTATTGTTCAAAATTAAAACAAATAATTACGGGAGGGGAGAGGATAGATGATGGTCATACTAGCTGTGTGTCCTTTGCTTCAATTTCTTCCTCTATAAAGTAAGTATAACAATGGTACTTCCCTTATCTCCTCTTATGTCTGTTATGGGAGTTTACACATGACTGACATAAGGGAAACTCTATACACATGTTAGTACTGTTGTTACTTGCTTAATTTAAAATAATTACCAAAATGCAGGTTATGTGATAATATTTTATAGTATGGCCCATTTAAAAGTTAAGAGTCTATGCATGTTTGTTTACATACATATTTTATTATGAAGTTAATTGGTGACACAGTAGCTTTTGTTTTCTTGTCTTGTCAACCAGAAAATGATGCAATAATCTTCCAGGCCCTCCTCGGGGAAATTTCAGTCATGACTCTGAATTTGAGGCATTTGTGTTTCAGAGCCATGCAGAGGGATCAAGCAGAGTTGTGGTGGGGACAGTATAGGTAAGAGCCAGCCCGCAAGGTGAGTGTCGGCTTCTCCATGACTAGAAGGACAGAGGTGTGGCAGCTCTGTGGATAAAGGAGCAGGCATTCCCCGTTCAGGCAAGACCCAAAGACGAAAAACGCCTCTGATGGTGAGCAGGTCAACGTGCAGACACCTCAGGTCAAATACTAGCAGAGCAACCAGGGAGCCACAGTGCAGATCTCTGGGCAAGTGAGCACAGAAGAGTAAATGTTGCCAGAGGGGACACCAACCTTCTTAGGGACCACACAGACTTGAAATATGAGACTTTCAACCTATAACCCTGTTATTTTCTAGAATGCAAGAATAACTAAATTTTAGAGCACCATTTAAAATATATATATTTCACTTAATAATTATGGACCACAAAAACTACTTAACTTGCCAGTACTCACCAAAGCACGCCTAGATTTGTGAGGAAAATATCTTTGTAACATGTCCAGATATAGAGTCCTTCTGCCACAGAGATCTCCAGGATACTGGTCCAAAACAGCCTGGTAAATCCAGCGATCTTCTTCATTTAACTGGAAGTTTCTGGAAGCAACAAAAATGCCACAACATATCATTAAGCAATCATGGAGTTTGAGGTACCTCAAACTGTTCAAGCTATTAGCTATGATGATTATATAAAATGAAGTTCTTTTTCTTTTTCTTTTTCTTTTTTTTTTAACACATTGGCCAAATTAAATGTCTACTATTGAAAAGGTTCTAAATTCTAATATAATTGGTTCTTTCAATCCTTCATTTGGTCTTGCCCTGAGTTCCAGGCCTAATCTGAAGAAATTTGACAATGAGACCTAGTATTTTTTAAATACTTATTCTATCTTGCCTATATTTTAAAAATAATAACCAATAAATGAAATTTTAAAAACATTGGGAAATAAATTATTAAACATACAGATTAAAAAGGGATTTTGCTTATTCAACAAAGTTCCTATTTCTAGCCTGGAGGAAATACAGCTAAATGAACAATTACACAAAGGAAACCAAGGCTTGAGGAATGCACTTCAATTAAGGTTTGACTTTAAAAGCAAGCCTAAAATTCTTTTACTTTACCTTCTCAACATCTCACTTTCTGAGGGTAAAAGTAGACATTGGTAGTGAAAAGATAACCAATGGCATTAAATTTCAGATCATTGAAGAAATCATTTATAAAAAGGAGCCCTTCAAGTCATCTTACCAATAACATGCCCACCATGCTCAAAAATGCCTTTTTCGCTTCAGAATACTCTTAGCCACAGACCTGGTGTGTGTTCCTATGTAAAGTACAGTTGACTCTTGAACAACACAGGGCACCTACCTGGTGCAGTCGAAAATCTAGCTGTAGCTTTTGACTCTACAGTCAGCTTTTTAAATTGTCAGATTCAACCAACCGGGGATCCAAAACATTATTTTTGATCTGGCTGCTGGAAATCTGAGATTGGCAAACCACAGTTGGGCATGTGAAAATACCATTGAGGTTGGTTGAATCCACAGATACAAAACCACAGATTGGAAGAACTGACTGTAATTCTTGAAAAAAAATTCCTCATATAAGTGGACCCACGCAGTTCAAACCCTTGTTGTTTCAAGGGTCAACTATATTAGCAAAGCCCGACACAGAGTGAAAAGGTTGCAATATCAGCTTGAACTCTAAACTGAATTAATGTCTCTTTATTATTCTGGGATTATTTGCATATTATTATTCTTGTTTAATAAGTTGGAATAATCAACACAGATGCAATGAGAAGGAATATTATTAGCAACAAATATTTCCTTGATCCAAGATGAAGACTTCTTATTGTTTATTTTTATTATATCAGTGGCCTTCTACTTTAAAGTTAATTGTACAATTCGAAAAAATTTTCATATGTCTTCTATGCCCTTGAAAAATGTTTGACAATTCAAAACAATAAAAACCTCTTTAAACTAGTAAAACTAATGGGAATTCCACTATCTTCACACAAGTTTACCTAGTTTCTGCAAAGCATTTCATTATTCTGGTAAGCAGCAAGAAAGAAAAAAATTCTTTTTCGAAGATAATCTCTAACAGCTTTATAATGGGGAGGGGGGTGTTAGAGGTGTTCTACCAGGAAGAAGGATACTCTACAATTTTTCAGAATGACATAAAGTGTTGCAGAGAAAAAAATCTGAGATGAGTTCATTCGTTGAGCACCTTGAGCATTTTGTTCTGTCTGAATCAGTCAGGCACGTATAGACAGTCAAAGGCTTCTGCAAATAAACCATTTCAGATAGGGGTATTGAGCCTGGAGAAAGGATTGCCCGAATGTACTTGGCATTTAAAACACCCTCAAGTCTTCAAGGGCAATATTTCTGGTCCTCTCTAAAGGAACTCATTTTCATTCATGATAACATAAATGCATTTTAATAGCAGAGTTAGCCACATGAATTCTCTCTATTACTGCACCACAGCCACAATAATGAATAGACCTAAAGCCCATGTACTCATTAATGTTTTTAAAATGTTTCTATAAGCAAAGGGACGTTAACTCGGTTTGAATTTCCACCTTTATTTTATTACAAATGTGGGTGGGTGGGTTGTGTGGGGGATTTGTGCTGAGCGGGAGGAAGTGACAGAATCTAAGTTCAATAATTTATTTGTTCTTTTAAATTGTCATTCATCTATACAATGGATGCTGTTGAAACCATGACAGATCACCTTATTAGCTAGAATTCCCATTACCAAGATGCTGATAATTCACAGACATACCTTCTTTCCGTGGAGAATTGCTCTGAGCCAGTTGGAAACTGCCTCGCTCAGGAGGCTATTCCCCTACACACTTTCAAGGGCTAACTACAACCAGTGATAGATTATCTGATGCAGGGGTACAGGGGCCAGTCTACTTATCTCAAGATGGGACCGACTATGTGGTACTGTTTGTGCTCCAGAGTTTCTCTGGGGGAGCAAACTGCAGCTCATTCCCACCGAGATCTCCTCTTTGCATAGACATTGTCCCCTCCTCTGTTTTGGTTTCCCTTACCACCCTTCTTCGGAGAGCATTGCCCAAGAAATCACTTGTTACAATCTCTGTCTCAGCGTTGCTTCTACCGAACAGGACCTAAGATAATCTACAAGCCATCTCACCCATAATTTTCAAAAATAGTTTCAATCCTTTGACAAATGATGTACTTCCTAAGCTAATTGCTTTGACGGTCTCTTATATTGAATGGTGGCCCAAGATTTTTCTCAAAGAGAAAGTGCAAATAGCAAACATTTATAAAAATGCTTTTCAAATACAAGCACACATTAGGAGTGTACATTGCTATAAATAAATATAGCAGCAGGAGAATTTGTGGCACTCGCTGCATTTTTATACTTTGGGTGAATTATTTAGGTGTCATTTTAGTGACAATGTTAAAACCACTTAAATGTATGAAATGATAATATACCATTACAACCAAATATTTCAAACCAAATATGTCATGAACAATGATCACATCTATTTTGCTCTTCTTATTGATTTTAGAAGCCTCATCTCAACAGCTTTTTCCAATTACCACAATTACACAAATTGGAAGTAATTTTTCCAGTCTATGTGGAATAAAAAACATCTGAAGAGAAATCATACATACTCACAATATTATTATTTTTAGAGTATTTATAGCAGTTTCCACAGCCGCAGGCTTAAATCTTGAGGCAAATATTCACATCAGGAATACTAATGGCCAGTCATACATCTCCGTTAGGTGCCGTTTGTAAGGGAGAAAACCCCCACCACTATAGAAATACTGAGTCTTCTGGATGGTAAAATTCAAACATAACTGCCTCTTCACAATAACAAAGCAGTCACTTTTATTTAACCTCTAAAACAAAATCACATTTAATATATCTGCATTTCTAAATTCAAGTCTGGATAGTTATCTTTCCTAATCAGACCTTTATCTGTCATTCCTACAGAAAAACCTATACAAAATAGCTTAGCTGTATAAAATAACAAGGGTTAGCTTTAACCTTCCGAAGTTCTTGTTTAATTTGACTGCTTTGCTTGTGATTATAATGAAAGAATGAGCTAAATTACACAGATTGAAAAATATTCTGATCACTTATCTCCTTTCTGAATTTGGGGAAAAAATGACTGTAATTTTAAAGAAAAATTTAAAGAAGACTTTACAATTATCCTAAACTTTTGCAAGATATCTTTAAACAAAGGATCTTTGGCAGGTCTCTGCAATTTCTGTTCTTTTCATTCATCCAAAATTTCTAATTTAAATAGTTTTGTAATTTTTACCTTTAAAATAGCCCACTAAGATTCTAGAGTTTCCAGGTTTCTTGGGCACTTCCTTCTAACACTTCAGGGAATTTCAGCCTGAGGAAGTATGAGATGTTTACCGCTCAGTCCCCACTCACCATCTCCTGGCCCCAAATATTGAAATCCACTGACATCATTTCATCATGATTTCCCAGGATGTGAGATAAAATAGATAATTTGGAGAAAGAGGACTACTGGGCTGTGAGAATTCAACCAGACCACGGCTGATTGTCTCCCTATTTCTACGTATTTGAATCACTGCAAAAATCCAAAACTGACTTACAATGAATTTTGCTACCAGTTTTCTTAGTAGTCACGTTTAAACCATTTCTCTAGAGCCTGGTTTCATGACATCAAGATACATTTGGGTGGGGGGGAGGTGATAGAATACAGAAGGGTGACAGGTACTTTACCATAAGGGTGACAGGTACTTTAACAACAAAAACAAGTCCATGAAACTAACATTGTGTTTACAAACTGGCTGAAAGTGGTTTTACATTTTCTCAGAGTGAAGGGAGCTTTCCAGCCAAACGGTAATTACTGCTAGCTGATGCAGTTAGGAGCGTCTCACGACAGCCTCGAGATTGGAAAAGGGCCATGGTGAATCTGGCCTAGAAAGAAACTCTTATCTTTCCAGTGTAACATTGTCAGGGGACACCATCATGCTTCTCCACTAAGGATCATGATCGCAGTAGCCACTGTGGATTAATGTGGATAAAAGACAGCTCTCACACAATCTGCTTGTTTGGCTGCATTGGGTCTGACGCTCTAGAAAATATAACCTGACCTCACTTTTCAACATTATCTTGCCAAATCAGACCCATCCAAACACCAAATCTAATCAGCCTGGTTCCTAAAACTGTCTTCCCACCCACCCATCACCCAACCCCGGCCTATTGTCCAAACACAAATCTGTCTTTGATTTTCAGCTTGGTTTACAGGGAGCTCCCCGGCCTCAGGCTCACTTCTGACCAACAGAATCCGCATCCACACCTTGGGTTTTGTTTGGTGTGCACATTTTCTTCCCATGGGATCAATCCCCACTTAGCAATTCTAGCCCCCCCGGCCCCCAAAGCTCTGCCCAGTCTGGCTACGCAGGTGGGAGTTAACAGCCAGAATAAAGCGGGCTCTCAGGTGAATGGTCAAAATTCACTGAACTGAAGAATCAACAACAAAGAGGTCCATAGGGTGAAAACAGACCTTGCATTAGCATCCCCAGCCCCATTCTTCTGAGGGTGACAGGAAAGTGAAAATACGGCAGGGTTCTAAAAGTGATGGCTCCAG